CGCCCAGGACGCCGACTCCCCGGAGCGCGCTGGCCCGCCCCGCAGCGAGTCGTGCGCGGCCGCCGCCGCCCCCGCGCGCCGTGACTCCCTCCCCGCGCGCCGCTCGTATTCTCGCCACGCCGCCGCCCGGCACTGCAGCACCGGGGGGCGGAGGCGAGGCGAGGCGGCGGCGGAGGAGGAGGACCGCAGCGGGCGAGCCCCGAGCCGCTCACCCGCCCCGCCTCTCGCGGCTGACCGGCTCCGAGGAGTCGCCACTCCGCGCGCTGCGGGAGAGCGCGGCAGACGGAGGCGCCCCGGAGGAGCGAGGCTGAAGGCTGAAGGCTTGACTCTGTCCTAGGAAGTGGGTGCCCGGCTGCTGGCGCGGTGAGTAGGGGACCCTGGCAGCGGTGGCGGATTTTCCCGCCGCTACTTCTTGTCCCTCCGGGACCCGCAGGCCGAGCGCTGCAGCCTGGGGAACTTTTCGTGGCCTTTTAGATAAAGCAACTTTGCCCCACCCGCCCACGGGAAGGTGGTTGCAGGTGCGAGGTGCTGCCCGGCCGGCCGGATGCCTTTGCGGGAGCAGCATCGAGGAAGTAGGGGTAAAGCAGACAGTGACCCCCGGTTGCCTGGGGTTGGTCTGGGGGAAGCGGGAGCGCTTTATCCTCGATTCCCGACGGAGGAAGGTGGGCAGCTGCGGCGGTTGCGGGGGCCGCGCCCGCCTTCTGCAGGGACCTCCACTATCCTTTGCTTTTGTGATTCGATGGGCAGGAGGAGGCTGCTTTAAAACCAGAAGCTCCGAAACCCTGGCCGGGTGTCCGACCGCGCCTCGCCGGTACCCTTGTGCCGCAACCCAGCCTTGGGCTCAACTTTTTAGCCGAGAATCCCTTTGCCGAGGGGCGGGCGGCGGGAGATCGGAGGCAGCCGCAGTGGGCGCTGCGGGAGCCTAAAAGAAACACCTGGGATGTAAAGACTGTTCTCGGCTCAGACCTTCGAAGCCCCGTCTAGTGTCCGCAGGAGAACAAGCGAGGGCTGGGGAGCCCGGAAAGCCGCGGGGCTGTCTGTGAGTGTCTGCGCTTGACCACACTGTGCCTTCATTCAGTAAAACCCGACTGAGCGCTCACTGTGCGCCAGGCGCGGCGACAGAGCTCCACTGGTGTGAAGCTCCCCGGGGAGAGGGGCCGTCACCTGCAAATAAACTACCGAAGTGATTTCAGGTGCTGAGCAGGGCGGCGGAGGCGATTCCCCCACCTCACTGACCCTTTCTCTTGGCGGGCTCTTTCCCCCCGCTTCTGGGTTCTAGAACTGGGAAGACTTTCCTCCAGCGTGCCGAGGGGACCGCCTGGGGCTGGGCCCACCAGGACTGCGGAATACGGTGATGAACTTGGCTGGGGGGCAGCGGGCACCCCGCCGCAGATGCTTCACCCAGAGCCTTCAGAAGATGGAGCGTCTTTTGAGGCGCCGCGACAGGGATTCCCTGACGGTCTCCTCCGACTCTGGACCTCCTCCCTTCATTCTTAACCGACTGACAGGGCGAGAAGGAAAGTTGTTTCAGTTCCATTCCTATCCTTAATCCTGGGGGAGAATTGGGTATTAATCCTGCATCCGCTCATTTTCAGTGGCCGGTTCCAAAAGGCCTCGTGCTCCCGGCCAGTTTTCCGGTGAAAGCTTTGATGCTGAGGTTCTTCGGATTCTGTAGCTCTGATCCATTCCTTCACCGTTCTTCAGGAGTTTTGTTAGGAGGCCCGGCCTCTAAGTGGAGCTTGAGAAAGGCTTGCAAAACAATGTGCTCGCGTTCCTCCTAAAAATGTGTTGAAAACCTTACTGCAAGTGCATTCTCTGGTAAAGGATAAAAAGCCCAGCCACATTTCTTCCTATGTATTAACAACGACAAAAGGACCCCACTTTCTGGAAACCTAATGGCAAAGATTTTTCTACCGGCTTTCCTGAATGAGCCCACATCGGCAGGATGTGTGGCAAAAGGAATGAAGGGGTGATGGAGTTGAGGGGCTAACGGGAGAAAGGAGGGCATAGTTATTAAAGAGAACAGAGTAAAAGATCCTAGTCTCATTTTCCCCAAGTATTGTGTTATGTCACCACTTTATGTTATGGGCAAGTGACTTACCCTTTTGGGTTCATCCTCCGTGTTTGAGAAATGTGAAAAATAGCTGAGACTAGCTCTTATTAAAAAGTTGTTTTGAGGACAAAAGAGAGCGTCTCAGAGAGTTATGGACGTACATATTCTGTATGAATGGAAAATGTTATAAAACAAAATCCCTTTAAGGAAAGAGAAAACATATTTTTTCAAAAAGTCTGGCGACTTCCTCCGGCACTGTTCCTTTAATGAAATTTGGCCTTCAGTGTCAGCAAATGCAGACAATAGACTTTTCCTAGCAGTCTAATATAAAATCAAATGCCATTAGCTGCNGGGGGGGGGGGGGGGGGGGGGGGGGGGGGGGAAGCTATGGATTGCATCTGAGTGTTTTGGTGATGTAGTGGAGAAATTAAATTTATTTTTCATGACCCAATGACATTTGAAAGTAGCCTTGGGTCTGAGCATCATACTAGCCTAGGAGCTTTTAGGTAAAAATCCTACTCATTATTAATACTGTCATATTCTGTAAGGGTGGAAGGTCCCTCAGAAAACAGGATGTAGTTTCCACCCTCAAGATGATTACTGCAGAAGACATCAAAATGTGCAGTATATTACCTGACCACAAGTACCAGAAAATCCATTTCCTGTAATTAGGGATATTAGCTCTTATTCTGAGGTAGACTTCTTGATGACATATTTCATGAATAAAAACATCTGAATGCCTTCCAAATCAGGTCACCGTGTTGTTATTCACGTTACTCATGCATAATGGTAGATTTCTGTGAAGAGTAAAAGTTAAAATGTCCTTTTAATTCTATGCAGCTCTATCAGGAGAAAAATCTATGATTCATCACTGCTTCTTGGTTCCATGTTGCTGAGGTTTCTGTCTGAGCCATGGTTTATGACATGGATACCATTATTCATTTAACACAAATTCATCATTTCGATGAAGTCTGTTTGTAAACCTAGGAGAGGCACCCCCCCCCCCATCAACTTCATGCAGCTTTGGTACAACAGTGCTAAATTAATTTGAGTTTTACTTTTTAAATTACATCTCTGTTGAGTAGCCAGTGTAAAATGTTGCAGTGGATAAAATTGGAAGCTGCTTTTTTTGGACACAACTGAAATAACAAGGGAGGATGAAGTTAATGTCTTAATTCTTGCTGGAATGAGGGTACAAAGACACTATATAGTTTATCTGAAACACCCCTTGTAATTAGGAAAGGTCAGTAGTCATTGTATATCAGGTGGTTTCCCTGGAAAGAAGTGAACAAAATGAGATGAACTTAGAGGGCTGGATTGGATGGTTTGGTCCTTTCTGGTTCTAATGTTCTTTCCCTCCATAAAATATAAGAAATATATAATACATAATATTTTAAATTTGAACTTTCCTTATAAATAGAATATAAGAGATTTTTAAAATTAACTCATTGAAATTTTACATGGGAACATGGGCTGTGTATTTGTAATCAGTCTGCTAGATTTTGTATTATGCCATGAGGGGTATGAGTTAAAACATTTTTAAAAGACCAGAGTTGAGAAATAATAATCTCAGTTTAATGTAAAGTGAATATTGAGTTCAATTTAACATGACAACACTTTACATGTTTTCTCTTGACCACCTAGAGCACACCGTGCCTGCTGTATCTTTCCCTGCGGACAGTAGGTAATACAAATGATTTGAAGCAGACACTGTAAACTGTATTGATGGGCTTTAGTCTTCTTAGAGCACTCAGGCCTTCTTATAATTTAAGAGCACGGATGAGATTTATGACAAGGTAGAGTGCTTTCTCCCGTCATTTCCCATTCTTTGAGAACCCTGTGAACTAGAAGTCCTAGAAGAGTCTAATAGATCAGATTTCTAGAACAGCCGTGTGCTCCCCCAGGTCACTTGTCCAGGTGGAGATTTCTGAGCCCCATCCCAGGCATCCCAAACGCGTGGATTCCTGGGTTGCCCCGAGTGTGCGGTTTGTCAGGCGCTGTCCTGTGGGTTGGACGCTGTCGATTGGGGACCACAGTTGCAGGAACACTTGAATAGTCCTTGGCCGTGCAGCAGGGACCCGGAACACATGGACTGTCTAAGCTGTGTTGTTCTCTGTGGTGCTGATGGAATATCTGCTCGAAACTCTCACAGGAGTCGCATTCTGGCTTGGCAAGGCAGGTTTCGAGATGTCTGGCTTCTTTGGTAAGAGGCAGAGGCAGAGTGAAGTCTGTGTTTGGGAAGGACTCTGGAGACAGACGGGCATAGGCCGAGGGAGCATGACGTATGACGGGTCTGTCTACTGGCATAAAGACTGAAAACCTTGGCCTTCAAAGTCTGCAAGGCTCTGGGTGGTCTGGCCCCAGCTCACTTCCATAACCTCGGGTTACATAACCCCGAACCTCTCCCATCCCAGCAGCTTTCAAACACCCGTCTTCTCCTGCTGTGGCAACCTCATCTCTTGCTCCAGCCTGCCTTCCTCGTGTTACTGCCCTATGTTATTTAGGTTCCAGTCCAGCCTTCTCTTCCTGAAGAAGCCTCCTGAGCCGCTTTTGTGAGGTTAAAATGCCCTCTCCCATCACAGTGTGCTTTTCCTTATCCGTAAGGTTGTCAGAGAAAAAGAGCATGCTCAGTCAAATTTGAATTTTAACATAAATGTCTCAAATACTGCATGAGCCATATTAAACATTATTATTTATATGAAATTTCAACTTATCTAGACATTCTGTATTTTTATTTGCTAAATCTGGCAACTCTGTTTATAAAGTTCATTAATTTTGCATTTCTCTTTTTAAAAAAATGAGATTCTTTCATGAATAGCTCTCTCTCCTGACTAAGTTGTTAAACTCAAAGAAGCCACGGACAGGACTGGGGAGAGGTGCTTGTTTTGTCTTGCTGTTTTCTCCCTAGAAGGAGCTCAGGAAACATTATCAGATGAATTAATGAGCTGTTTGAGAAAAATGGTGTAACCATAGACAAGTTTCTTAACCTCTCAGAGCCTTAATTTCTTAAGCTGTGAAAAGATGTTTTTATATCTACTTTTTAGGGTTGTGTGTGAAGGCTAAATAGGAAAAATATACATAAAGCTCCTACCTTGTAGGCACTGTACACTAAAAGGTAACTTTTCTCTTCTCCCAATGTTTGTCTTGTAAAATGAAAGCGTTCCTTTTTAATATATGAAATCCTACTTCCTTTTATTGTAATGCAATCCTGAATGTTTCTGGACTGTTTAACCAAAGGCAAGGTGCTCTGGAGACTCAACCATGCAGTTATAGCAGTGCACCCATCTGGTGAACAGAGATTTCTGGGGCT